TGTTATCTGTGTAAAGAAATGCTATTGATATTTGGGTGTTAACTTTGTAACCTACCATACTACTGAATTTGTTTATTAATTCTAGGAGCTTCTTGGTGGAGTTCTTTGGTTCGTGCAAGCAGAGTATCATGTCATCTGCAAATAATGATTGTTTAACTTCTTTACCTATTCTTATTTCTTTTATTTCTCTCTCTTGTCTAATGGCTCTAGCTAATGATTCCAAAACTATATTGAGTAGGAGTAGTGATAGAAGACATCTTTAGGGCCAGGGAGATAGCTCAGTAGAATAAGCGCTTGCCTGGCAAGCACGGTCCTGAGTTCAATCCCCAGTACCGCAAAAGAGAGAGAGAGAGAGAGAGAGAGAGAGAGAGAGAGAGAGAGAGAGAACATCCTTGTTTGACAGTAAAAGCTTTGTTTTTCTCCATTTAGAATTACATTGGCTGTTTGTTTGTTATAGATGGCTTTTATCAGGTTGAGGTAGAGGCCATCTATTCCAATTTTCTGTAGGACTTTGGTCATGAGTGAGTGTTGTACTTTGTTAAAAACCTTTTCTGCATCTATGAGATGATCATGTGATTTTTGGTTTTGGCTTGATATAGTGTTTCTTAATCCACTCTGCCAGTCTATTTGATATAATGTTACATTTATAGATTTGCATATGTTGAACCATTCTTATTATCCTACCTGGTTGTGTTATATAATCTTCTTGATGATTTGCTGTATTCCACTTGCTAGTATTTTATTGAGGATTTTTGCATCTATGTTCATGAGGGAGATTGGCTTGTAATTCTCTTTGTTGGTTGAATCTTTCTTCAGTTTTGGTATCAGTATAATACTTGCCTCAATAAATGATTTTGGGAGTATTGCTTCCTTTTCAATTTCATTGAAGAGTTTGGGAGTATTGGGATTAAATCTTCTCTAAATTTCTTGTAGAATTCAGCTGTGAATCCATCAGGACCTGGGCTTTTCTTTGTTGGTAAGTTTTTTTTTTTAAATTACATTTTCAATTGCATTGGCTGATGTTGGATTATTCAGAGTGTTTGTATCTTCTTGATTCAATTTTGGCATTTTGTGCTTATCTAGGAATCTGTCCATCTCTTCTGTCTTTGATTCTATGAGAGTAAAGATTTTCAAGATAGCTATTGGTGATCTTTTGAATTTCCACAGAATCTGTAGTAATTTCTCCCTTTTAGAATACCTTATTGCTTTGAGGTTTTTCTTTCCACTTCTTGAGGAGGTTAGTTTGGAGTTTATCAATTTTATGTAATCTTTCGAAGAACCAGCTTTTGGATTCATTAATTCTTTGTATTATAGTCTTCATCTCAATTGCATTAATTTCTGCTCTAATCTTTATAATTTCCTCCTGGCTTTGGGCTTTGGGCTTTGGGCTTTGGGCTTGGTTTGCTCTTCTTTTTTCTTGAAGCTTGAGGTGCCACATTGGGTATTTATTTGTTATCACTCTGTTTTCCTAATGTGTGAGTTTACCACTGTAAATTTCCCACTGAGAACTGCTTCCTTTGTATCCCATAAATTCTGGTAAGTTGTGTTTGAATTGTCATTGGATTGTGAATATTGTTTAATTTCATCTGTAACCTATGGGTTGCTGAGGAGGATGTTACTTAATTTCCATATGTTTATGAGGTTTTTGTGGTTTCTTTTGTTGTGAATTTCTAGTTTTATTGCATTGTGGTCAGATAATATGCATGGGATAATTTCTGTTTTCTTGCATATATTTAAGCATGATCAGTATGTGGTCTATTTTAGAAAGCATCCCATGTGCTGCTGAAAAGAATATGTATTCAGATGTTGGGTGGAAAACTCTGTAAGTGTTCACTAAGTCCATTTAGTCAAAAGTTTGCTTCACTTCTGCTACTTCTTTGCTAATTTTTTGTCTTCTTGACCAATCTTTTTGAGTTAAGGGAGTGTTAAGATCCCCTGTTAAAATTTCATATCCTTTAAAATTGACTTTATATAGTTGGGTGCTCCCATGTTTGGTAAATACACATTTATGACTATTATCTCTTCCTTTCTAACCAGTATATAGTGACCTTCTATATCTCATTTGATCATTCTTGGTTTGAAGTTCTGATTGTCTGTGAACAGAATAGCTACCCCTGCTTTTTTCTGAGGTCCTGGAGCATATAGTATTGTTTTCCATCCTTTGACTTTCAGCCTGTAAGTTTCTTTATGAGTTAAGTGTGTTTCTTGTATACAACATATTGTTGGATTTTGTTTCTTAATCCACTCTGCCAGTCTATTTCTTTTAATTGGTGAATTGAGTCCATTTACATTGGTGGTTATAATTGATATGTATTGACTTGTGTTTCTCATATTATTTTCCTATTATTGGTTCCCTACTTTTCTCCTGTGTTTAATTGTTTGTGGGTTTGGTGGGTTCTTTCTGTTGTCATTCTTAGAATTGTGGTTATTTTGATCCCTTTCTAAAATATCATTTAGTACTCTGTGTAAGGTTAGTTTGGTCATCATTAATTTCTTTAGTTGTTCATTGTCATGGAAGTATTTTGCTTCTCCATTAAACTTGAAAGAGACTTTTGCAGGGTATATTGGTCTGGGTTTGAATTTATTTTCTTATGGGACTTGCAGTACTTCACTCCATGCTCTTCTTGACTTGATGGTTTGTGAGGGGAAATCTGATGTTATTCTGATGGGTTTTCCTTTAAATGTGATCTGTTCGGGTTTTTTTTTTTTTTTCCTAGCAACTTTTAGTATTTTGTTCTTGTGCTGAATTTCTGGGATCTTGCTTATTATATATCTGGGTGTATTTTTATTTGGGTTGATATTATTTGGAGTTCTGTATGCCTCGGTTATCTGAATGTCAGATTGTTTCCCCATATTTGGGAAGTTTTCTGCTGTTGCTTCTGCCCATATTATTTCTATTTCATTTCTGTTGCCTCCTTCTTTCTCACTGGTGTCTATTAGTCTTATTTTGTTCATCTTTGCATCATTTTTCAGTTGTTGAATTATTATTTCCCGGATCCTAGAGATTGTTCCTTACCTTTTCACTAGCTGCAATGGTGCCTTCAAGATCTGAAAAATCTACCTTCACTTTCATTCAGACAGCTTTGCCAACTGCTAATGGAGTTTTTGATTTCTTGTATGTCTCTTTGAATCTGCTTCATGCATTCTATTGCTTTCCTATGTTGCTCATTCAAGATTTCCATCATTTTTCTATTCTCCCCTATTGTTTTTATCAGTGTCTTCTTTACAAATGCTTAGTAATTCTTTCATTATAGGTATCATTTCTTTTTTTACTTGTGAGATTATTTTTATTGAATTTTCTCTATACCCTTCTGCAGTTTATTTATTTGAGTTGCTATTATTTCAGGTGTGTGACTTTCAGTTTCTACTATGCTGATATCTCCTGGGTTTGTTCTGGGTGAGGTTGGGGCCTGAGATGATCTTTTTTGCCTTCTTTTTGTCATTTTCTATTTCAGAGAGAACTTTTTATTTTGATTTCTGTGATACTTTTTTGTGAAAGTTTGATACGTAGCTATATGACTGCAGTCAAAGCCTCTCCGTAAAGAGTGTTTTTTAGGTGTCTCTCGTGTGTCAGAGATTTGTGTTTTGTGTATGTCTCAAGATTTTTTTTTTTTTTTCGGAACCAGGGATTGAACTCAGGCCCTTGTACTTGCCAGGCAAGTGCTTATTCTACTGAGCCATCTCCCTGGCCCCGTCTCAAGATTTTGCCTTCTCTATTGATTGGGAGTGAGATATTGGTTTCAATGTGGCACTGTCCTCCATCCTTCAGTGTAGGGCTTTGGGGAGCTTATTACCCAAACACCTCCCAATATTATTACTCAAGGGAGAACATGTGGTTAAGGCAGATATGGTTTCCTATTTACAGTAGTATAATTAGCAATACTAATAACAACTATTAAAATTTAAAAATTGAGAACCTTTTTTAACAAATGTGTTTGTACTTTAGACCATAGGAGCTAACATAACTGTATTACAAAGCAGATCTTAAATTGGGAATGTGTCTTTACATTAGTTCCCCTGAGTTCTGTCTGGACACCTCAACTTCATGCACCTGGAGTCTTCTAGGCAAACTAGTTCACCTAAGTTACCTGCTGCCACCTCCATGCCACAAGGATGCTCCTGTAGGTCTGAGCCTCAGTCTGAGCTTGGCTGGGTCCAGCAGTACACCTCAGCTCACCAGGTCCACATCTACTGAACTCAAACTCACTTGGCCAGACCTGGCTTGGGTCTGGTTGTTGTGTTCAGCTCCTTCCAGCTGAGCCCTATTCAAGTAGACCACTGGGCCCCACTGGCTGCCAATCCCTCAGCTCCTTCCCAGTGGGCCTGCTGAGGTGGAGTGGGCCCACTGCACCCCTGGGTTTTCAAAAAATATTAATCTAAATTATTTATTGTGGACTGTTTGTTGTATCATGGGATTTTGCAGTATTGTACGGTATACATGTTATTAAAATTACATAGGTTTATGAGTTTAGAAAATGATTAAGAACATTGAAAGTATGTCTGAAAGTATAGGAACTGCTTATAAGAGTGTAGGGGAAGGATTTATAAAGCCTTAGTGTGTATATATATATATATATATAATGTTGCTACTTCGCGGATTTTCACTTAGCACAGTGGTGTCTGGAATGTAACTTCCGTGATAAGTGAGGGACCACTGTACCACTCATGTGAAGGTACCTGACACCTAGAGACTTGTCCGGTGCCACAACTCAAGTTATGATCAAATCAAAGACCTGGTTCCCTTTCTCTGTGAGTTTCAGGTGTCCTCCTCTAGATCCAGCTGATGTCCATAAAAATAAGACAAACATATTTTAACATAATACCCTAATTTGTGTGCCTCATCCTTTGCCTTCTTGGATTGTGTGTGACCAGCACTCGCCTACCTCTGGGCTTTCTTCAAACCCTTGGGTCTTGCTAGCATACGCCGGGCTCACGTCATGCTGGCTTGTGTAGACAGCTGAGATGAAATAGCCTCATAGTGTTTTCCTCTCTCCTTTCAGGACCGCCTCTTTTTTGTCATGGAATATGTCAATGGCGGAGACCTCATGTTTCAGATTCAGCGCTCCCGAAAATTCGATGAACCTCGTTCCCGCTTCTATGCTGCAGAGGTCACGTCGGCTCTCATGTTCCTGCACCAGCATGGAGTGATCTACAGGTAGCCCCTTCTCTCATCTCTTTCCTGAAACCTAAGAATAAAGACTTCTCCAGATATCTGAACTGACTTTGGCTCCTGCCCAACTGGTCTCCCAGCAACTGGCTTTAGATTAGTTGTTTGTTCCATTTTGCTTACAGAGAACTTTTGGAGGGGCTGTTTATCACTGTGAATGTTAATATTTGAATGGCCTCAGGAGATTTGGCCAACTGTTTGTGCCAGTTTTGATTTGAAGCTCCAGCATGACATTCAAAGGCTTGGAGCCGGATGACCTTGGAATGACCTTCATTTCTTACCCCCCACCCCTGCCCCACCCCACCCTTTTCCTTGAACATCAGGGCATTCGCTTGACTTTTTCCTTCTGTGCCATGAACTTCCTACCCTTCCAGATCTCTTGCCACTTCCTGAGTTTGTTTGGCTTAGTCGTCTCCTGCCGATAGAATCAGGGAAGGAGGAGCCAGTCAGGGCTTAGGGGGTCATGATCTGGGGTGGGGAAGAGCCACTAGACATCATTCCACAGGAAGTGACATTTTGCAGATTGTCCAGTCCCTTATTGCCGCCCAGTCCCTTTCCAAAGAACACACACACACACATACACACACACACATACACACACACACACACACACACACACACACACATACACACACATACACACACATACATTTTTCCAGTAAGGGAGCGTAAGTATTTACACAGACTCTTCTGTGAGGTCAGGAATTCTGGGAGGAGTAAATATTTGTAATTAGTAACAAGAACATGAAAGTTCCGTAAGGTTTTCTCAGTGATTATCAACTTCTTTACTTGGTCTCTGCCCCCTCTGTCATTTTGTTCCTTTAATTGGGTGGGAGAGTAGCTGGCTTCGTTTAACCTAGAACTTAGTCATTCACCTGAACTTTACCAGTGTGTGCCTGGGAACAGTGGCTGGCCTGACTGAATGTTCTTTGGAGACTCTGGTCAGTCCCACCCCAGACTTCCCTTCTCTCTGCAGTCTCTGGGCTTCCTAGAGAGTGAGAAGAAGCCTTTCCTATGGCCCAGATGAAGTAACCCGTGTTGCTCAGCCTGTTTTCGGCCCTCTGCTTCCACAGGCCATGTACTTGTTCTTTATTGCCACATCAGCCATCACCATAAACTTAGTGGCATTAAACAACACCCATTTAGCCTCCTGGTTCCCGTGGGTTGGGAGTGCTCCCCACATTCCTGTGCTCGGCTCAGAGTCACCAGACTGTGATCGAGGTGCCAGCCAGACTGGGTTCTCATCTGAACTGGACTCCTTTTATAGGTTTGTACATTGATGGCTGAATTAGTTTTCTCACAGCTTTAGAGCCCATATGGCTATGGGTTGGTGAAAGCTAGAAGGAGAGAAAGCCTCTGCTACCTCAAATCTCTAACCTCAGGGAAGCGCTGACCCTCCTGTATGCTCCCCTGAGGGCCTAACCCCCCTGTAGTGCATGCATGACTGTCCTGTGCCACCCAATGGGACAGTCATGCATGTACCCCCAGTGGCTTAGAGCTGCCCAGCAGCAAGGCATACCAAATATTTCCCCGTTGTGGATGTGTTAAAGGATTTTAATCAGGCCCACCCAAGATCATGTTCCTTTTGATTAATTCAAATAATTCAGAGCTTTAATTATATCTGCAAAATCCTTGTACCTTTTCCATATAATGTAACATCACAACCGTGCAATAGCCAAATTCGTTCCACTGATTGGGGTGAGTCTTGGGTCCCACCTACTCAACGAGAAGGAGTTAGAGATTATACCAGGGCATGATCCACTGGCGGTTGCCTTAGACCAACACGCCTCTCTTTCCTCGCACCCCACAAAGCCTCTTAGCTTTCCTGCCACTACCTGCCAGCCTCTGGCACTCCCCACTCCCCTGTGCTGCGTCCATCTGACCAGAGGCCTCCAGCCCCACTGCTCACTCGGCCCCATTAGCCAACTGACTCTCTGCTTTGGCTGGTGATGAATTTCAGTTCAAGGATGTCATAGCTACCTCAGGTTTAGGTTGGGCCTTGAGGACTCTACTTGGCTTTGCAGACCTTCTGAAGGGCCACTTGTTCTTTTCTGGTCAGCTCTTTAATTTTCTTTCATTCTTGTACTGCATGGTACAGTCCTGCCCACAGTAGATAACAAGTGTGAATGTTGAGTTCAAGTGGTTTGAACTCAACCCTAATCCCTACCCTGCAAGTAATTCACAAGCTAGTTAGGGAGAGGGGAAGGAAAGGGGACATAAAAAGAATGAAGATGTGTTCTATGCATTCCCATGATGAGTATAATCATTATATACTGCAAACATACATGCGGAACAACTTGCAAGAAAAAATGAAGAGCTAGTTAGGCATCCAGGAGTCAGCCATGTGAGGTCATCCATGCAAGGCAGGACCTTGTCATTCACCACTAACCAGAAGAACTGCTATTCCTTCAGATGTCCCCACACCATCCCTGTAGAATGAGTACAGTCCCCGTGTTTCACTGACAGGGAACCAGGCTCACTTAGAATCATGGGCTCAAAGTCACCCTTGGCCCGTGACAGATGGAGGAGGTATGAACAGCCGGCGCCCCTTGCCAGCATCCCCCTATCCCTGCACCTCACGCTCAGAGTCCTCCGAATGACTTGCTACTCTGTGCCAAGCACCACTCTTAATTTCGCTGAGCCTTTTCCCTACTGACTCTGGAACTCACTTTTCTTGATCTGTGGTTCCGAGTTCATGTCCAGGGTGAACGTCCCCTGCCTCAGAGTCCCTGGTTTTAAAAAAAAAAGCATGGGGGATTCTATAACACTGGAGGAGGGGAAGTAGATAAGGATAAAGAAGATGGCCCCAAATTGATGATTGCTGAGTCTGAAAGATAGGGTCCTGGAGGTTGTTTTTCATCTACTTTTTTTTTTAATGTATCATCATCATAATACTAACAGAATAAAGATTCCAAGGTAGCATGCCTAGAGCTTCTGAAATCAGTAGAGCTAGTACCGATTCCTGGAATCTGCATGTAGTTTAGTGTTCCCAGGTGATGAGGGGACTGCAGCTCTGGACAAGTCCCATTCCGCCGTTAGGACCGTGTCCCGTGGCTCAGCTGTGTGAGGCTTTCCCCGCCCACCCAGCCTGCCGTGCCTTCCTAAAGACATAGCGTCTCTCCGTGCCACACACCTAGCAGGTTTCCTTTGCTGACCTTGTGCTTGTATTTACGACCCCCATCTGGGGTGGAGAGCCTGGCATGGGAGTATGTGCTTGGTGACCTGGGGCAGGAACCTGCTCATGCTTGATGTCCAACACGTCTGTTCCTACCTGTGCTGCGGCAGAGCCTTGCAGTCCGGGGCTGCGCTCTCAGAGGTGTGCCCTTCAGGGTCGGTGCGGGAAGCACTGCTGACACCGGCGCACACCCCTTCCCTGGCGCAGGAGAGTGTCTGACCCCCCTCATCTCTTACATTCCGCCCTCTGAGGCCCGCAGATCTGTGTGTCTTGTGCTGCCTCTGTCCACGCCGGCCACAGAGGGGCTGTGTCTGGTAGTCCGTCTGAGGCTGGCCAGGAGGCTGTGACTGTCTTTGCCCGTGTGCTTCTGGCTGTTCTGAAGCCAGGCAGAGGCCTTATTTTATATGATACTTAAATGATAAAGGGTTTTATTTGGGGAATGGACACAGCCAGGTTTTGGAGAATGGCCTTCATGCTGGAGTTGAGATTGAAATTTTCCACCCTCCCTGCTAGAGAAGGAGAAGGTGGAAAAATGGAGACTTGGGAAGGTGGGCCTCCTGTCCAGAGCTGATTCCAGGAGCTCCTGTGCGTCGGACTCGATCCTCCATGCAGTCCATAGGTGCTGGCTTCCCGAACCCACTCCTCTGTCCTTGTGGCATGAGAGAGGACAGAGATTGTGATCTGCCTTAGAGGGAGAGGGAGGACCTTGGGAGAGTGTGGCGGACAGGTGAGTACCTTCTTGCTCTTGTGCAATCCAGAAGCCAGGCGAAACTGCTGGGCCAGAAGTCGCAGCTCTGCCGAGTGTCTGCGTGCTGTATGCCTCATCTGTAGGATGAAACCTAGCTCCTGGGGTCGTAGGGGCTCTTGTGCCTGCCGTGCTTTAAGTGCTCAACAGTGTTCGCTAATCGTACTGTATTGTGGATTGGTTTTCACTAGGATACCGCAAAATAAGGCTGGTGATCTTTTACCCAATTCAGGCCTCAGAAAGGATTATGGAACCACGGTACAATCTTGAATTCCTTCTTGCTGCTTTTCCTTTTTTCTGATAAAATTGAGCACTTTTCAGTGATAAAAGTAGTCACATACGATAAAAAGTTAGGCACTCAGGAAGGCATGGAGCCGGCTCTCCCTCCCCAACCATGTAGCTGTCCAGGGGTGAACTAGGAACGTTTTCCAGGTGGTCCTGTGAGCGAGCTTGAGCAAGTTCGGGAACCTCTTTGTGGCCATCTCTGTTTGCCTTCTCTCCTCTGGGAGGGAGCAGAGATTGGCTGCTGGCGGCCAGTGACAGAGCAGAGGCAAGCAGGAGCAAGAGGACAGCCATTTCATTTACGTACAGTACTGAGAGGGATTGACATTTGTCATCTCCAGCTCTGGACAGAGGTGTTGTGAGTTATGAACCCCTTCTGCCCTTGACTTCCCCAGACCTCCTCCTCCTTAATGAGCCACTGCTGTTACCCCAAGTTGGTCATCCCGAGCGTCTGTCATACTTGCTGTCTCCCCAAGGCAGGCCTTCCTGGAAAATGTACACTGAGGTACCATACGTTTGTCACCTGCTGGCTAAAGGGGGAAGTGCCTGCCTGGTGGCACCTGTCCTTGGCCCAGGTGGAGATGTCCTGACCCACAGGTCTCCACTTAAACCTGTGTCTGTGACTGGAAGGTCTCTTAAGTTCAGAGGGTGAGGCAGGAGGATTGCAAGTTAGAGTCCAGCTTAGGCAACTTGGTGATGTAGCAAGATCCCAAACTAAAGATAAAAAAGGTTGGGGAAGTAGCTCAGTGCAAAGGCTGTGGGTTCAATCCCCACTACCACACACAC